TTAACTTCTGAATGTAAATATAAACAATGATAAATACGAAACTGACTTTTCCCAAGAAAAAGATAAAATTATTTAAGTCAATAGGGGTATCTGGGAAGATCGTACCCGTCGATTCATTCTGAATAGTTTTCACTGTACTAAATGCAGTTCTAAAATTATCGATCGCCGTTGTTCGAATTTCGCTATGGGACATGGGGACTGGTCCTTCGGATGAGACCGCATAAAGTTTAAAACCGAAGCCCCGTGTCACAGCTGTGGCACGATAAAGATCCCTCTCTGCTCAAAGGCCCTGAACGCCGAGCATAGGTAATGGTGACACTCACTGGATAGCTGAAAAATTGCTCAGGTGGCTATAATCAAACAAATAAATGATCAATCTTGATCCAGCTGCTTGTGTTGTGTTTCTTATTTCCAAAAAAAAAAAAAAAAAATGAAAATCTAGAGGAGGCAATTGCCTCCGTTGCCTCAATGGTAGTTACGGCCCTGATGATGTGTTTCTATGTCCAAATCATTACTCCATACAATGCGTGGATCATCACACGCAAACATTCTCTAATTTCTGTGAGGTGCCTGAAAGAAATCCAATAACTTATTTTTCTATCTAACTACTGAACAAAATTTTCATATGTACAAACTTCTGTCTGTGAGCTTGGAATAGAAGATACCATAGAGAGACTGACACATCTGTAAATCCGTTTTATTGATAGATTATTTTTCAAGATAACGAAAGTAACTGAATTTTAAACATTATGTATGAATTAAATAAACACTATATTAGCCTTTATTTCCCAATATACTTACGTATGTACGTTAACAAGAATGAGTTCTTTCCATTACTACTTTCCCTTGTTTTTTCTTAAGGGTGGTGGGGGTTGGTGGCTAAATATAGCAAATAGTTTATTTTTGAAAATGAAACACCTAGGTTTTATATTTTAAAATGATCGTCTTTAGACTGACATGTTTTAAACCAATTGTATGGCTTTCGTTTTTGTACTGAAATCGAAAACGACATGTCCCGTCAATGTATTTGGCTTTCTGCGAGTGATACCACCTCTGAATTTTCTATGCAGGGGTCTGTGATATATGAATCATTTGTTGTACGACTTGGTTATTACGTTTTGTATCTTCATAACAAAAGAGTTCCAATTAATATGGCGTCTTAATACCATGCGTATACAACAGGGTCCATGTTTATGCTTTGTTCACAAATCTGTGTCCTTAATTAATTAAGGTCTTCCGTTTCCAACGGAAGACCTTCTATTGATTCTGTTGGTAAAGATTATTAAGGTCTTCCGACTTCCTTCGGAAGACCTTACTGTTTTTCTTATGTTTCCTATTATTATTATTTTTCCCTTTTCATAGTACACGTGATTTCTCGGAAACTACTTGACCGATTTCAAAGATTTTTTCAGGAATGATGCATTGTTATAATATCTCCAGACCGTATTTTTTTAAATTTTGAAAAATCACTTCCGGTCACATTTTTTGTCCAATTTTCTTTTTTTAATTTGCCATTTTGTCCAAGCAACTCCTTCTTAACCACCAAAGATTTAATCACGATATTTTCGTGGATGATAAAACATCTCTTTCAGTTATGCATGGCATCTTTTGATTTTGCATCCGTCACTTCCGGTCGACACAGGAAGTGACATTAATTTTCGAGATTTTTTGAAAAATTTAACCGTTTTGAATAATGGCAAGTAAAACCTATGTTCACATTAACAATCGTCAACAAAACGCATCCATTTGAATAACTTCCGGTGAAAACTTTCTCTCCTGCGTCAAAAGAAATAGAATAAATGGTTTTAAGTGAGTTTTTTTCAAAGTTTTTATTGTACTTGTGACTTTGACGTCAGCCGGAAATGATGCCTTAATTGTCTAAATTTGTCAAATGATGTCACTTCCGGTGAAACCGGAAAGTAGCCAAAATAGCTTATTTTGAAGGTTTTGACGCAAAAATGAAAACTTTTGAATTTTAGAGACACTGAAGGCATCTTAACTCATTCCTTTCTCTTGTTGACGTCACTTCCGGTCAAAACTCGACGGAAGACCTACTCGTTGCTTTACAACGAGCTTTTCTCTAGTTATTCTTTTTTTTTTCTTCTACTTCCTAGACGCCAACTTTGAAGTCTCATATCTCACTCATTTCTCAATGGATTTCGCACAAATTTTCAGAGGTTATAGACGTTAATAAACTCTATCAGAATGCTGTCTAAAATTTCGAAAAGCCACTCCCGGTTTTGAGTTATTACCCTTTAAAGGAAAATTTATATGCTTTCGTTTCCAGACAAAGGCTCAGAGACGGCTAAAGCTGGAGCAGAAATTCTACTGATTTTAGATAAAAGAAGGATTGAAGTTGTGCACATTGGTTTTTGTTTTTCGATTTCTCTATTCAAAATGGCGCTATATCGGGGTCAAAATTAGAACGCTTAAAAGAACCAAAAATTACTCATATTTTTCTTTTTTATCTTAACTAAACTAAAAATATTTTGTTAAAATATATAGAACATAATTTGTGCAGAATTAGAAGATCTTTCAAATGATATGTCTAAAAAAGGGCTGACCCCTACATTAAGGGATCTAGAGGGGCGAAAAGTTTTTTTCCAGATATCCAAAAATTATTGAGAATTTGTTATACATTAAATAAGCAAAGTTGTTCAAAATATCAAGCTTTATCTAATGGGGTTGTCAAAATAGTCCGTCGACGTCACTTCCGGCCGAACCGGAAGTAGTCAGAAAATGCATAATTTTTGCCGTTTTGGACAGGTTTTTGGGTAACATGTGTCACTAGAAGCTTAAATATTAATTTTCCGTCCGTCGTCGTTACTTCCGGTCAAACCGGAAGTACCAAGAATGGCTTAATTTTGCAATACTTAACATAGATTTGGAGGATTAACCCATTTTTGGACTTCATTACTCTTTTTTTTTTCAATGAAAGTTACTTCCAGTCAAACAGGACGGAATACCTACTCGTTGCTTTGCAACGAGCTCGGCTCTAGTTTTATTTTAAAGATCGATTGCTGTTCGTTACCTTTGATTTATCTTGATTAGAATACAATTTTTTTGAAGCCAAAAACATGTTTCAATTATCAGTTTAGATCTTTCTAAAGTATGCCAATTCATTTGGTATTGAATCTTAACAGGTGACTTAGATTGAATTAATGCAACTTTAGATTAGAATAACTAGAAATAAGTAATAAAAGTATTTCATGATGTTTTATTCAGGTGTTGACAATACCAATATATTAAAAATTGTCAAATGTCGGGGGGGGGGGTTGTAATGTTCCTGTGGTTTTGAAAAGACACACTTCCTCATCATAACTATACATTAAATTTGTTTGTTTAGTACTCAGGAGCAGAGAAAAAGATTATTTTCACTTTATAATCTATATAGCCCTGTCCTAGCTATAGACTTCACACCCTGTGGCATGAATTTCAGAATTTTGGTAGAGGATCAATGCTTATTACATTCAAACTAACAGTTCAAAAATTGATTGCTTGATGTCAAGGAGTAAAGGTGAATATTTTAAAGGGTTGCATTAATTTTAATGGTTTTTACCCCACCCCATCAGGCCCCAGGGTGGGGGGGGGTAGGGCTATGACATTCACAATTGCTGTTCCTCTTCACCCATAGATTCTATATGCCAAAATTGGTTGAATTTGGATTGAGCAGTTTCAGAAAAAAGCTGAAATTGTTCAAATGTTAACGCTGGACGAATGACAACCGACAACATAAAGTATATCAATAGATATATAAAAGGAAAACCTCAAAGTCCATAACTATAATTAGAATGGGGTGGGATGTCAGGGACAGTTTATTTACTTCCTGTCCAGTCGAATTATTTGGAACATTTTTTGATATCTGTCAGCCCTCCACCTCTCCCTCACAAAGAATCAAATGGTCGTCCCCTAAAGCTAAGTTTTATATTCAATAAAAGGCTAGTATCCTCCACGAGATTTATCTTTAATCTTATTATAACTTTATCTTTATATTGACAGATAAAGATATGTCGGGTATTGAATGCACATGCCGTGGTAACAGGTAAAACAAGGATAAAGCGTAAAAAGAAAATTAAGGATTATGAGGGAGGACATTTTGGATCTTAAGGTGAGACAAGATAATATTTATGATTTAACACACATTACCAAAGCATTATCCATGTGTAAACTAGTAGATCAAAAAATTATTAGAATACATTAATTGATGCCCAAAAGAGGCGCTCTAGGTCAAACTAATATATAATATTATGAGGTGTAAAGTCATTTTTCTTTCTTGATAAAAAAAACTACAAACACAAAGACAATTAATTAACTTAACTTTTCTGTCATTTCCATACGGTTTTGTCCTAATTTCACAGACAAACTAGATTTCCCCATTGTTTTTGTTAAATTTAACATGTTTAAGTATAATTTCTGGTGTCAGTGATCCACGTCTTTACTTAAATGTTTTTACCTTAGTGATGGACCCTTTGGACAGAGCTCAAATACTTCTCCTCTGTGACATGTGCCAAACAGCTGCATTACAGAGTCATTGTGAACTTTGTCAGGTTAACCTGTGTAAGGCCTGTGTAGGGGAACATCTCTCTGATTCATCCATAAGACACAAAGTTGTACCATACAAAAAAAGAAGTTGTACTCCTAACGTGAACTACCCAAAATGCCCAAACCACACCCAGAAACATTGTGAACTTTATTGTGAGAATTGTGACATTCCTGTTTGTTCTACCTGTCTCTCCTCTGATAAACATCATGGACATAAATTACTAAGTAACAGATATCTTACAGAAAGTTTCGTTAACGAAATTTTAAGAAAAGATTTGAGAGAACTAGAAAAAAGAATACAACCTACCTATGATAAAATTGCATCAGATTTAAACTCTGAAAAACTTGAGTTGGAAAAACATTATGAGAAACTGACAGCAGCTGTCACCAAACGAGGAGAAGACTGGCACCGAGAAATTGACAATATTGTCAATAAAAAGAAATCAGAAATTAATGAAATGAAAACTAAACACCTGGCTGTTCTAAACCGACGGGAAATTGAAATACAACAGATTACATCTGAAGTTGAACAGAGCATACGTTATCTGAAGAAACTAGAAGTATTAGACCCCCATGATGTGTCCATAGCATCTACATACAAATCCAGGAATGTTGAATTCAGAAGTTTACCTCTTAAAGTCAAAGTTTCGTTACTAAGTTTCTCTCCTCATCAGATCAACAGAGAACAGCTTCATCAAATGTTTGGTTCTCTGTCAGCATTATCTATAACAACAGAAGAACATGGCTACATACTGAAGACACCAGAAGCTGTATCCTGTCCTCCAGTCAGACCACTGCTTAATGAACCAGAGCTCATCAACACCATATCCACTGCGTATAGACTATACAGTATTTTTTGTCTAAGTGATGAAGAAATCTGGATATGTGGAGATGATAAAATCATGAAACTCTACAGTCTCCAGGGAAACCGACTGAAATCATTCCAAACCAAGTCTGGGAACATACCACTTGACATAGCAGTGACAAGGAGTGGAGATCTAGTTTATACTGACCCTGGTATGAGAACTGTAAACATAGTGAAGAATAAACAGATACAGGAAGTGATCAGATTACAGGGGTGGACACCTCGTTATGTCTGTAGTATCTCTTCTGGTGACCTCCTGGTTACCATGGTCAATGATGTTGAAGAACAATCAAAAGTTGTTCGTTACTCTGGCTCCACAGAGAAACAAGCCATTCAGTTTGATAGTGAAGGTAAACCTCTGTACTCATCCGGTAACTTTAACACGATTAAATACATCAGTGAGAACAGGAACTTGGATATCTGTGTAGCTGACAATGGAGCCGGTGTAGTAGTTGTGGTTAATCAGGCAGGAAAACTCCGATTCAGATACGCAGGCCATTCTTCTACTACAAAGAGATATTCGTTTGAACCAGTCGGCATTACAACAGACAGTCAATTTCACATCCTGACATCAGACTATTACAACCACTGTATACACACTTTAGATCAGGACGGACACTTCCTCTGTTACATCGATAACTGTCATTGACAACTAAAGTATCCATGGGGTTTATGTATAGACACTAGAGACAATCTATTTGTGATCGAGTTTAGTGGTAGATATAAGAAAATTAAATACAAGTAAACGATGTATTGTAAACCAATAACAACACGTTTGTGATTGGAATTTATCCCGTTACCAATCTCACAAGATATTGTATGATTAAACTTTTAATTACATATTGTTTTTTTGCCAATGATTATAAAGTGAATAAATAAAAAAAAATATATATATATAACAATTATAGGTAATATCAGAAGAAACTTTGTATATCTGTTTATCTCACTGTGAATATTATGAATAACTAGTGCTAATTGTAACGGGGACCGTTACAGATGTTCCCCAAACGCTCCCCAACTCCCTTTTGGTGCCATATTCCCTGTAAGCTTCATTAAATAAGACAACCTCTATGCATCTGAGATTTTAACAACATAAACAAAGAAGTGTACAAAAATCATTTAAACTTTAGCATTGCACGCGTGCACATGGGAATGCATTTGTGTCATGACCATATCGTCTTGTCTACACAATCTATATTTTTAACATACTGAATATTAAAGTATTTAATCCAAAATTATAAAAAAAAAATACCCTCATTCAAGTGTATGTTTGATTTAACTCATTTCACGTGCACGCACGTGCATACATGAGCGTGGTGACCATACCTTCTTGTAGAAGTCCATTACATCTATCTATGTTCTAAATTCCACCCCGTTTGGGTGAAAACTAAGGGAGTTATAGCTGTTTAAAGTTTCAGCCAATCAGATTGCAGCACATGTGCACGCACGTGTATGCATGTGCATGGTGACCATACCTACTTGTAGAAGTCCATTATATCTATCTATGTTCCAAATCCCATCCTGTTTGGTTGAAAACCAAGGGAGTTATAGCTGTTTAAAGTTTCAGCCAATCAGATTGCAGCGCACGTGCATGCACGTGTTATCATGATAATTGCTTTATTTCATGTTGTAGGATATCCTAATGCATGGCTATGTTCAAAATTTCAAAGGATTTCGTCAAAAAACAAGAAAGATATTGAGACTTTAGTTGCAGCCAATCAGAGTGTAGTGCACGTGCATGCGCGTGAGATCTTGCTATTTTCACCATGTCGTCATGTCTATACTACTAATATATCCTCACATTATGAGTTTCAAAGCATTTCATTTAAAAATAGAACAGTTGTGGCTATATCTACTATATTGGTCATTTCACGTGCTGCACGTGCACACTCTTGCAAGCACGTGCGCGCAAAATGACCTTGATTCCGCAAATCTACATAACATGTCTACTAACCCTAAAAAGGTTTTACCTACATCGGACGAACTGTTTACAAGATCATTCCCGGACAAAAAAGTTCCAGGAAGAAGAAGAAAAAAAAATAACTAGTTCTAATTGTAACGGGGACCGTTACAGATGTTCCCCAAATGCTCCCCAACTCCCTTTTTGTGCAAATTTCCTTTAAAACTGTTTTCAATATGCTTAGTATCGCAGGATTTCATAAAAGAATTTTAAAAGCTACAATAATATCACTTTTTTGTCATTTAACGCATTGTTCGCAAACGCACGTGCATGCACATGCAAGGTGAATAGGACATGTTGTCTAAACCATTAACATTTCTTTATATTCCAGAAATCATTAAAAAGTCATAAAAATATAAATTTTACCGTTTTTCAAATATATTGTTCATTTTACGCATTGCGTGTGCGCATGTGCATGCAAGCACGTCCTTGCATTCAATTTTGATAGCAATATCATGTAGGAATCCATAATACCTATTCATATTCTAAACTTCATCCTGTTTTGTTGAGAAACAAGAAAGATATAGGCATGTAAAGTTTTAGCCAATTAGATTGCAGCACACGTGGATTTATGTGCTTTCATGATAATTCTTATATATCATGCGGTAGATCTTCATAATATGTGACTAAGTTCAAAATTTCACAGGATTATGACGTAAAACAAGAAAGATATTGAGACTTTAGTTTCAGCCAATCAGAGCAAAGCGCACGTGCATGCGCGTAAGATCTTGCAATTTTGACCATGTCATCTTGTCCATACTACTACTATATTCATGCCTTGTGAGTTTCAAAAAATTCCATCAAGAAATACAAAAGTTACGGCTTCATCCATTATCTTGGTAATTTCACATGTTGCACGTGCGCGCTCTTGCCAGCACACGCGCATGTACGTGCTTTCATGAAAATCATTATATATCATACTGTAGATCTTCAAATTGTGTGACTAAGTTCAAAATTTCAAAGGATTATGACGAAAAACAAGAAAGATATTGAGATTTTAGTTTCAGCCAATCAGAGTGAAGCGCACGTGCATGCGCGTGAGATCTTGCTATTTTGACCATGTCAACACGTCTATACTACTAATATATACTTATATTATGAGTATCAAAGCATATAATCAAAAAATAGAAAAGTTAAGGCTGTATCTATTATTTTGGTCATTTCACGCGTTGCACGTGCGCGCTCTTGCAAGCACGTGCGCGCAAAATGACCTTCGTTCCGCAAATCTACATAACATGCCTACTGACCCTAAAAAGGTTTCACCTAAGTCGGACGTGTAGTTTACAAGATCATTCGCGGAAAAGATTTTCCCAGGAAGAAGAAAAATAATAATAATAACTAGATGTGAAACTCGTTGCGAGCAACGAGAGGTCTTCCGTCCCTTTCCGGAAAGAAAACTTAAAATTGAGCTGAAAAAGTAAAAAAAGATTTGCCCACAAGAGGGATTGAACACATTAGTCGCCATCATGAAATTCCAACACACTAAATATTACGCTATCGGGACCTCTACTCTAAATCTACTTGTATATATCAACAAAATAGTGCTTCTCTCTTAAAAAGAAAGGCGGGTCACTATTCAAAATATAGCGCCAAACGCCACGAGTTAAAAAAAAAAGAACGTTCTTATAGCGTAACATTCGAGGTTTAGAAAGTATATTTAACACATTTTACAAATTCCATATTGTTTTATATATGCATGTAACACTAAAGCGGTGAAACGGTTATGAATTTTAAACTTTTTTCAATTTCCTGTTTATCCCCAAAGTGAACTATCCTGATTAGTTAATCAAAATAGGTTGAAACGTTTCGCCGAAAAATCTGGGTCGCCCTACGACGGTCAAGGAATCAGATATCATTTATGCTCAATAACTTGAATCAGGTCTTTGAGACAAGAATGCTTGAATAAACTCCATGAAGCGATCTTTTAAAAAAAATCGTTTTCTTATTTTTGTCTTATTCATTAGTTTAATATGACACAAGTGTGCATAGGAAAACAGTGGTTAAGATTTATACTTACAATATTCATTGATATTCTTTTTTGAGACAGTATAACTTATAAGTACGATTTAAGATCTGTTTTTCCGTGGTGCACAAAAGATATTAGGTATCGAATTTCATCTGCACATTTAGTCTTTTCTTTTTTTATTTTGAAAACCAGCCAAAACTAATTAAAGAAGACGTTAGCTTGACACAGAACTGCAACGTAACTACGACGTGACAATCCAAGTATTCCTTTACATTTCATTTATCCTTTTGTTACTTTCATTCAAGCAAACGCTCGGCTGCCTCCGAAAACCCCTATTGCGAAATGTCGACGTTGACTGAGACAGCCGCCATTTTGGACCCGCTTCAGATTTTTGAATGCTAATGTCTAGAGTTTAGATTTATCAATATTCAAACAAATTATATAGTAAGCATTGTAGGGAGGGTTTCTATTAGAGATTGTTCTATCTGACGCATCCGTATCCGTATACGTATCCGTATCCGTATCGAAGTATGAGAGGCATCTCGATCCCGATGTCTAAATCATCTAATACATTTTCCATCTCTGTTTGTGGTTAAATAAGCCACAGTCCATGCATTAGAAAATAGCAAATAGCAATTTTTGTATTAAAAATAATAAACTGCTGTACACCTCTATCATTTCGTACAAAATATTTATTTAAAAAAGAAAGAAAATGAAGTCAAGTATAAAATATTTTGTTTTAATTATATTGTTTTAAAATTAATTTCATTTTGCTTCAATATATTTGTAGGAAATCCCCTTTCTCTTTTTCCACTCGCTTAATATCTTTCGTTGATTTTGTCTGTATTTTTAATATGCCATGTAACGGCTTACCAATTACCCCCCCCCCCTCCACACACACACACACACATACAAAATACATTATCATCAACGCGATCGATAAAACGCTGACTGTTCAAACTGATTTCATAATTAGCTTCAGGACCGTTATAGGTATTGAGTATATGCTTTGGAGAGCCCGTGTAACTCCCTCCTTTTCCCCTCCCCTCACATTGGCGTCATGCAGAAGCAAATTAAAAGTAGGTAGGGGCTATTTGAAAGAGAAAAAAAATCAGCCCTGAAAAACCTTGACAAACAAAAAAGTAATTAGTTAAAATATTTTGACTCTCATTCATTAACATCATTTGTGGTTTGATATAAAAACTATTTCATAATACGGTATTCAACTCTCTTTTTATGCAAATTTAATGAATAAAATTATGGCTCAAAATTTTCAAAATAATACATCTTATTTTGCTAAGCCTACTTGTCCATCGCACTGCTAATTTTCTTTTCTTTTTATCCTACTTTCTTTTATATATATATTTAATTTGGCCGAGATCGAGATCAGTGTGCACAAATTATAGAATTGAAGAGAAGTAACTGCTTCAGAACTTGCTTTGTTCACTATAAACTCGATCATGTTCAATTCCCAAGCTCCTTGAAACCATAGATACGCATAGGCGTCGGAACCGGGGAGGGGGGGGGGGCTTAATCCCCCTCCCACTTTTTTTTGCAAAGATAGACAATATAGGCATTTAAAATTGGGTTTTACCCTTTTTGTTGGTTTAGCCCCCCCCCCTTTCAATTAGCGCCCCCACTTTCTATTTGCTTCCGCCGCTCATGATAACAATTTTGAGAGTGTATTCAAACCGCCTCAGAATTACCAGCTATCCAATTTTTT